AAACTATAAGATAACTTTCAATCTTTGGACTGACTGTAATAAAGTTTCTACTATGACATTATATAATAAAAAAAAAATAAATAAAAATAAAAAATAAAAAATAAACATGTTACTTATTTTATCTGAAACCAGACGTTGAAATTATTAATTCTAAAACCCCACATGCTTACTTGAACATGAGATAAATATATTATATCATGTTGAATAGTTTGAGAATCAGATATTGTTAAAAAAGAATTTGAAGTTGTAACAAGTATTAATGCATTTTCTTTAAAAGTTTCATAATATCCTTTTAAGTGAATATCATTTGATAAATAGAATGCTTTTTCGAAACATAATATAATAAATAATTATCAAATCCACTAAAATGAATACCATTTGTCATATCAAATTGAGCCTGTTCTGATGATGTACAATAACCATTAAGAAATAGCAAGTTATGAGATTTATTTTGTTCAAGAACAATTTCAAGAATTGAAAGTTTTACATCACCGAGAGAATATTATTGGAATATAAAGTATCTATAATTTAGAAATATGATATTTTGGCTATAGTACAGTAGTAAACTTTTATTGAATATATATTTATTTTAAAATTAAGAGTTAATCTATTGATCATCCCCATAGGTTTTGTTAAATACCATCACCCTATGTACATCAATTTTATAAAAATTAAATTTTTTTAAAACTTTAACTAAACGTATCTCAATAACTATTCTAGCAAACTAGATAAACTTTTTTATTTAACTTCTACAAATTCATAGAATTTAAGTAAAAAAAAGATTGTCAAATTTGGCTTAGGTATCGAGATATCTTCACTCAAAGTTTTAAAAAAATTCAAAACATCTACAAAAATAAGTTATACTAAATTGTTATTAAACTTTGAGTGAAGATATCTCAACACCCACCAAGCCAAATTCGATGAATTTTTTTTATTTAAATTCTACGAATCTGTAGAATTCAAATAAAAAAATTTCAGTTGAATTTAGCTTAGTGGGTGTCGAGGTATATTCACTCAAAGTTTAAAAAAAATTCAAAACATCTATTAAAATAAAAAGCTGTGTCAAATTGTTATTAAACTTTGAGCAAAGATATCTCAACACCCACTAAGCCAAATTCAATGAACTTTTTTTATTTAAATTCCACAAATCCGTAGAATCTAAATAAAAATTGATTGTTGAATTTAGCTTAGTGGGTGTCGAGATATCTTAACTCAAAGTTTTAAAAAATTCAAAACATCTATAAAAATAAGAGTTATACTAAATTGTTATTAATTTGAGCGAAGATATCTCGACACCCACCAAGCCAAATTCGTTGATTTTTTATTTATTTAAATTCTATGAATTTGTAGAATTCAAATAAAAAAAATTTGTAATTTTGGCTTAGTGGGTGTCGAGATAAATTTACTCGAAGTTTTAAAAAAATTCAAACTGTCTATTAAAGTGAAAAGCTGCGCCAAATTGTTATTAACCTTTGAGTGAAGATATCTCAACACCCACCAAGCCAAATTCAATGAACTTTTTTTTATTTAAATTCTACGAATCCGTAGAATTTAAATAAAAAAAAATCAATGAATTTGGCTTTGGTGGGTGTCGAGATATCTTCACTCAAATTAATAACAATTTAGTACAACTCTTATTTTTGTAGATATTTTGAATTTTTTAAAACTTTGAGTGAAGATATCTCGACACCCACTAAGCTAAATTCGACAATCATTTTTTTATTTAGATTCTACGGATTCGTGGAATTTAAATAAAAAAAAGTTCATTGAATTTGGCTTGGTGGGTGTCGAGATATTTTTGCTGAATTTTTTTAAACTTTGAGTAAATATACCTCGACACCTACTAAGCTAAATTCAATAGAAATTTTTTTATTTGAATTCTACAGATTTGTAGAATTTAAATAAAAAAAATCATCGAATTTGGCTTGGTGGGTGTTGAGATATCTTCGCTCAAAATTTAATACCAATTTAGTATAACTTATTTTTGTAGATATTTTGAATTTTTTTAAAACTTTGAGTGAAGATATCTCGATACCCACTAAGCCAAATTTGACAATCTTCTTTTTACTTAAATTCTATGAATTTGTAGAAGTTAAATAAGAAAGTTTATCTAGTTTGCTAGGATAGTTATTGAGATACGTTTAGTTAAAGTTTTAAAAAAATTTAATTTTTATAAAATTGATGTACATAGGGGAATGGTATTTAACAAAACCTATGGGGATGGTCAATAGATTAACTCTAAAATTAAATAAAAAATTTTTGAAAAAAATTTGTCAAAATTGGCCTTTTTAATAAAGATGTCCTATTAGTTAATTGACTATAAATATACATTATACCTGATATCATACGTAAAAATTTTATATTGATATTGTATTTATTTTAAGATCATGTAAAACATAACTTTAGAATTGTATTGTTGAAAAGAATTCTAATGTGAAAATACTCTTTGAAAATACTCTTGAAAGGATTCTTAATCTTTAAAATATATCATCTTGTTAGTTTACTGTATCACACATTTATCAAATAATTGAATACTTAAAAAAAATAATTATAGAAACTTATTTTTATTTCTTCTTGTAAACTGCAATAGTGTATAATCATTGTACTGATATTAAAGAGTTTTTTGTATTAAAGAGTTTTTTGTTTTAAATATAGAATATTTAATTTCAAATAAAAAAAAAATTAAGATATTTTTAATAAAAGTTTAAATACAATATTTATTAAACTATAAGCCACAACAAAAATTTTTAAAATTAGATAAATTTTATTTACATTTGAATTTTATTAATCCATAAATTTTAAATAAAAAAAAGTTTATCAGATTTTATCAAATATATCAGGAAATTTTTTTCTATTTGGATCTGTAATATTCTGTAAAACACAGTTGTTTGCAGTATCAGGAAAAAATTTTTGCAAAAATTTTTAAAAAACAATTTATACAAAATTGTATTTATTTAGTAAAAAAAGCCACTAGGTTTGAAGATTTATGCAAAATTGTAAATTTTTTATATAACTAATAATAAAAAATTTTGCAAATTTGGCTAAAATAATTTTCCTGATGTAATTTACAGGTCAAATGAAGCCATTGGGTTATGATATATCTACAGTTTTAATTTTTAATATCATAGCCATATTGGTTGTCTGATAGAGCTATGATATTTACCTGACAATAAAATGATAAACATAAAATATATCATATATTAATCGGAAATAAATCAGATAAACCTATAGAGCTATCGGTTAATTTATTTGTATATAATATTTAACTTATAACCCATGATTTAAGTTAAGAAAATCAGAACATATCATGATTAAAACAGATATATCTATAGAGCTATCAGATATTTTATATGTTTATGATAATTATTCTATAATACTCAATATAAAAATAGTTAACCAGTATAAATCTAGTAAAATATCATAATAAATTCAAAGCCATATCAGGTAACGTATTTTTGAAAACATATTGGGTTATTATATGTATCTGGTTTAACAAATAATATGCATCCAATATGCCTTTAGGAATTATATTATTAAACTTTCAGATTCAATTAGAGAAAATTGATTTAAAAAAATAATAAATGAATATCGTCAAATTAAATATATCAAATTTTTTAAAGACACTTATTGATGATTACTCAACTAGTATGAATAAGGCTATTACTAAAGTTCTGGATAAAAAAAATTGATGAACTATTTGAATTAATACAAGTCATAGAACTGGATCAATATCTTACTATACATGAAAGAACAATTAAATCTAACAATATATAAAAAATAATTTAAGAAAAAGTTTAGTAAATAATTAAAAAAAATAATTTGCGTGAAGGTTTAATAAGTTATATAAAAAAATACCTTAAGTGAAAACTTAATAAGTAATTTGAGCAAAGGTTCAATAAATAATTTGAGTAAAGTTAATAAGTAATTTGAGCAAAGGTTTAGTAAATAGTTTGAGCAAAAGTTTAGTAAAAAATTTGAGCAAAGGTTTAATAAATAATTTGAGCAAAGTTATATAAAAAAATACCTTAAGTAAAGGTTCAGTAAGTAATTTGAACAAAGGTTTAATAAATAATTTAAGCAAAGGTTCAGTAAATAATTTGAGCAAAGATTTAGTAAGTAATTTAAGCAAAGTAAACTCACTACTCAAAAAAGTTTCAAAATCATGTGATGTTGTCAATTTCATCATGATTAAGATCATTTAATAAAGTATTAATTGACTTAGCAAATGATTTTAATCATTGCAATCTTTTAAAAACATAAAATCCAATAATCAAATATTCTAAAATATATGTTTATTTGCTATATCCAAATTTCCACTAATGATAGATAAATAAAGAAATAAAATTATAAAAACTAATTGATATATTTGTTACGTAATGATTAAAACTATTTTTGGTAGTGATTTTACCCCTGTGCAAAAACATTGTTCCTGACCCACTTGGATCACGTTTATATTTTTTTTGGATTGGAAATTTAAGGTCAAAAACATGATCCAAGTAGATCAAGAACAATGTTTTTGCTATCCTAGTTGTAATTACAGTACTGTATTTTGTTATTTTAAATAAACAAATTTTATTTTTAATTCTGTATTTTATATTTTAAAATATTATCGTTATGTGATTTAGTAGTCTGATCTGATCTAATCACCAGTTACACTAGATTAGTATAAATACTTCCTTTTTTTTTACTTTTTTAAATACTAATTTTACTTTTTTCTTCAAGATATCTCATTATTGGAGTCATTTATTTCTGTGCTTTTGTTTTTTGTTCTGTATGTCTTTAAAAGAATTCGATTCAGGGAAGTATAGATTTTTTGTTCTTTGCCTGTTTTCTTTATGGGCTTTATCATTGAAGTCAACTATTATGATATGTTTCTTTATCATTGGAGTTATTCAGTTTGGTGCATTATTGCTGTCACATAGTTTTTTTAGTTCTATATGTCGATTCAATGTTGATTCAATATAAATTTTTTCTTTTGCCTTGAGTACTAATATTTTTTATTTTTCTTTATAAGTTCTTTATTGAAGTTGTTTATTATGATGCATTTTTTCATCATTGAAGTCATTGTTGGGGTCATTTAGTTTGGTGCTCACATAGTTTTTTTTGGTTATTTGTAGATTCAATGTAGATTTTTTTCTTTTGCCTTGAGTATTAACGTTTTTATTTTTCTTTATAAGTTTTTTATTGAAGTTGTTTATTATAGTGCATTTCTTCATTATTAGAGTTGTTCAGTTTGGTGCATTATTGCCATAATATAGTTTTTTTTGGTTCTATATGTTGATTTAGTATAGATTTTTTCTTTTGTCTGAGTACTAACATTTTCTATTTTTCTTTATAAGTTCTTTATTGAAGACATTTGTTATAGTGCATTTCTTTGTTGTTGAA